CCCCGCCCCGCCGGTTCCCGCGGCGGCGGTGGCGGGGCTGCAGTGCCCGCATCCCGGGGGTAGCCGTGCCGCCCTTCTCCGCCGCTATGGGCCGCGGGGCCGGCCCCCTCCGCCGTTTGCTTTTATCCCTTTTACTCCTACCTACAACCGGGACGGGAGGACGAGGAACCGCCTTCACGGTGGGGGAACAACCGGAGGAGCAGCTGATGGAGTACCGAGACCCTTGTAAAGCCGGTAAGAGAAGCGGGAGGATTTTTTTTTTGGGAAGGGGGGGCAACTCCGGGAGAAGTTTGTAAGGATGGTGACGGTGGACAGGTAGATCCTACCAACATCTATTTTGGAGACTCCAGTGGCCACCGGGACCGGCTCCGGGTTCACCTGGCAGAGGTGGGAAACCGCCTGGGCATCCCCAAATCTCAGCCGGGCACACGGGGAGCTCCCCCGTCCCACCGGGGAAAGGTATGGGGGGGTTCTCGTTGCCCCCCACCTTCCTCTCTTACCTGTGAGTCACAGCCTCGAATGTTTGTTTTGTTGGGTTTTTTAAAAAAAAAAAAAAAAAAAAAAATTTGGTTTTTGGTTTTTTTTTTTTTTTATAAAAAGGGGATAAATCGGCCTGGGGTCTTTTAAAAAAAAATAATCTCCCGCTCCCCCACCTGTTACCCGCCCCTCCCGGGCCAAATCTCCCGGGAAATGCCCGGCGCTGCGCTGTTTTGGTGGGGTGTCTTCTCCCCCTCGTCCCCCCCCCGCCCCTTCTCGCCCATCTGAGCCTTTTCCCTGCATTTTTCCAGCCTGTTGGCAGCTGTTCCAACTTGTCCCGGGGTTCCCTCCGGCCCCGAGTCGCGGGCGGGGAGCGCACCGGAGCTCCGCGGGTTACCGCTGCCCCAGCCCGGGGAGGGAAGGGGGGGCTCTCCCGGCGGGCAGGGAGAGCCCCGGGTCCGGCCGAGCCTCCCGGTGAACCCAGAGACTTTTAAGAGTTGCCTCCGTTTGAGTCACCGCATCCCTCCAGCTGCCGCATCCCTCCCTCCCTCTCTCCTTTTCCCGGAGTTTTTGGTTCCCGTTTTGGACTGCGCCGAGTTGTTTTGGAGCTCGCCGTGACCCCCTTTGCACCGGTTGGTCTCTCCAAAAGAGCTTCTGTCAATCCCTACGGGCTTAATTTGAACCCAGGTTTTCTCGCCGGGAGACGGGGGGGGTCGTGTTCTTGGTGTGGTTGTTGCTCCCTTTTCCTTCCACTTTATGGGGGAAACGTTGTGCTCTTGTGAATTGCCTCTCTGCTGGGAGATCGATACCTTGTTAGTCTTCTTCCATTTCCAGGCAACTTTGTGCAAAAGTCCTGGTTTCTTAATACTGTAGCAATTGGGGGGGCAAAAAAAGAAAAAAAAAGAAGAAAAAAAAGGAGTTTTCTTTGTGTGCCATGTTCTTGGTCTCTCTTTTGAGGTGGGGTTTTGCCCCCCTCCCTTGTGAATGCCCTCCTGGCTGTTCCCCAGTGTCCCTTGGTGATAGTGTCCCTCGTTATCAGCTCTCTCCTGATTGCTTTTTAGGGGACTGGTGGCCGTATCGGCTCACGAGACGAGCAGTGTCTATCAGAGCCCCTCTGCCTTCTATTGCAAGTTGTTTAACTGGCCTTGTACACAGGCTGCATGCTGGATTTTATTCCAAAATCCAACTCTTTCCTCTTCTCTCCACAGTATTTTTTTTGCACTAAACATTCCCTTGATCAGTAAGTGATTCGATCTGTGGTTTGGTGGGTTTTTTTTTAAAATCCTTTTTTAATCAGTATGGGACCCAGCCCACCCAAACCTGCTTTACTGTGTTTGTGGCTCCTTCTGAATGGTGATGAATTTGTCTGTCTGTCTTTCCAAGGAAAGTAGTTGTTAGTGACAGAGCTATGGCTCAGACCTGGAGAGCTGCAGGTACAGTGCTTTGGCTTTTTGCACTAAACATTCCCTTGATCAGTAACTGATTTGATCTGTGGTTTGGTGGGGTTTTTTTTAAATCCTTTTTTAATCAGTATGGGACCCAGCCCACCCAAACCTGCTTTACTGTGTTTGTGGCTCCTTCTGAATGGTGATGAATTTGTCTGTCTGTCTTTCCAAGGAAAGTAGTTGTTAGTGACAGAGCTATGGCTCAGACCTGGAGAGCTGCAGGTACAGTGCTTTGGCTTTCCCATCTGAAAATCTATTATCCTTAGGTAATAGATTCCTTAGATATATTTATCTATATCCTTAGATAATCTATACCCTTAGATAATCTATATTATCTATTTCTCCTCAAAAGTACGGTACCATCTCTGGTGGGTCTCACTTCCACTTGGGACTGTTGGGTATCACTGTCGGGTCAAGTATGCAGAGGATGAGGGATGCTCTTTTAAGGACCACACAGACAACATTTACTTTAATTGACTTACCTACGTCCAACAGGGAAACTGTGGCAGAAAAGGGAAAAAAAAATTAATTATTTCCCCAACCTGCCACTTACCTGCCTGTGCTGTAAGACCCTTTCTGTCTCCTGCAGTCCCTCATCGTCCAGGCTCTCTGCCTCTCACTTCTGCATGGATGCAGAGAAGAGCCTGGACTGCAAACAGCAGCCTGCCTCCGTGGTACAGAATGATATGGGGTTGGAAGGGACCTCTGGAGATCATCTAAGCCCATCCTCACCTCCCCTCCTGGCGGGCAGAAGAACCGTATGTGTGTTATTCCTGTCAGTTCGATTCAGCCAGGATCAGGCGCAGAAATGATCTTTACGTTCTGACTTCTCAGAATTTAAATAATACTTTCTCCTTTTTCTCTAACGCTCTTCCAGCATCTTCTTGCCCGTAGAGAGGAAGGAATGAACATGGACCTCTGGGGGGGTCACACAGCCCTTTCCTGGAGCCCAGAGCCAGGCTGGTGTTTCTGCCAGGGCTGGCACACCTCTGTCTGCCGCGGGGGCTGCCAGGCAGCCTTGCCCGGCGTCGCTTTGGCTTTCCCCAGGCTCCAGTCCTGCCATTTAAACCTGCTTTTTTTCCCCCAGTCTGCGAGGCTGTGGGAGGACAGCACGGTGCCTTCTGCTCTGCTGTAGCCCTTCTCACCGGTGAGCACCGTTACCGGCTCTCTCGGGTTTCAGTCTTCTTTTCTGTGGATGATGGGACTCAGACTCTGTCAGTCTGTCCAGACCGGCTGTGCTTTCTGGCTCTCAGATCCAGTTTCTTTCCCCTTGGGCTGTATCGACCTAAAGTGCAGAGTCCTTGGGCTACAAGGAGCTCCTCACATGCCCTGTACCTGTCTCTCTGCACTGAGTGGCTCCAGGTTTTCGAGTCAGCCCCAAAAAATGAGCAAGCAAGGCTTTTGCCACATGGACCTGTGTTAGACCCTGCCTCTCCTTCTCCCCTTGCCTTGCCCTCACAGCCTTCTTCCTCTTCCAATGTTAGACCATTAACAGAGTTAAGCAGGAGTTTACTGCTGAAAGCACCACCCCAAAGGGTCAGTCCACCCAAGGTGAACGAGTGAAGAGATCTGTTTCTGTAAATGAAACGAGGTGGAGACCTCTCTAATGGAGTCATCGCTCCAAGACGGGCCATGTCAGGACATGGACCTGTTGGAATGGGTCCAGAGGAGGCCATGAAGATGCTCAGAGGGCTGGAGCACCTCTCCTGTGAAGACAGGCTGAGAGAGTTGGGGTTATTAAGCCAGAAGAAGAGAAGGCTCTGGGGAGACCTCATAGCAGCCTTCCAGTACCTAAAGGGGCTACAGGAGAGATGGGGAGGGACTCTTGATCAGGGACTGGAGCCATAGGATGAGGGGTAATGGTTTTAAACTGAAAGAGGGGAGATTTAGCTTAGATCTCAGGAAGAAATTCTTTCCTGTGAGGGTGGTGAGACACTGGAAGAGGTTGCCCAGAGAAGCTGTGGCTGCCCCATCCCTGGAGGGGTTCAAGGCCAGGCTGGATGGGGCTTGGAGCAACCTGGTCTGGTGGGAGGTGTCCCTGCCCAGGGCAGGGGGCTTGGAACTCAATGATCTTTAAGATCCCTTCCAACTCAAACCATTCTGTGATTCTGTAACAGGAAGCCTATCACGCTCTCTTCCTGATGTTCTGTAGCAGTGATAAGTCATCTTAACTTCCTCGGGCCTGAGCTTCTCCCCTGGTGGGACAGTGTCAATATTAGTCTAGAAGCGTGCCTGGCCGAGAGGGCAGTGATTGCAGACCTGCTGTGAAAAGCTGGGGTGCCCGATATGTTTTGTGAGGGGAAGTTTTTGATGGTCCTGTGGGCACTGTGAGGCTGGCGGGCGTGATTGCAGACCTGCTGTGAAAAGCTGGGGTGCCCGATATGTTTTGTGAGGGGAAGTTTTTGATGGTCCTGTGGGCACTGTGAGGCTTGTAAGGATATTTCCATTGCTGCTGTGGACACGGGCTCCTGGGCATGGTCTTGTGGCTGCAGATTGTGTGCAGGCTCTTAGACCAACTGCTGCTCCACTTAACGTGTTTTCCAAAGCTGTTAAAACTACTTTTTTTTTTTTTTTTTTTTTTTTTTGCTGCAGGCTAATGGCTGTGACCCAGAGGCCGTGATGGATTTAGATCTGGCAGGTTACGAAATGAAAGCTTGCCAGTTCCTCATCCTTGCAGCTCATGCCCCGAGGTTGAGTGCAGGCTGTCGATGGTTCATCTGCTAGTCTGGGAGTGAAAAACCTGGCACATGTTCCCTCTCTGTTGCCTTAGCTCAGGGTGCAATAATCTCCAGCAAGCAAGGCAGGACCCACAGCCCAGGGCAGTAACCTCCTAAATCACTGCAGCTACTGGGATCCACGTGTCCAGTTACCAGGGCTCAGCTGGTGGGCTGTTAACTCCACTGCTGCTCAACCTCCTAACTCCAGCCATCCAGGATTTCCTTTTCCCCGTTTGTGGCTGCTTTCCTGCCTTTTTGGTAGGGTAGGGAGAGAGGGCAAAATGCCCAAAAGGCTGATAAAGGGGGCAGTTGAGGGAGGGCTGTGCTGTGGGTTGGAGATGCCAGGGGTTGAGGTGCCAGTGCTGACTCTGCCGGGTGGGTTTTGCTGAGTGTTGTGTGTGGTGGGTCACTGGAGCTTGTCCAAGGGAAAGGTGCAAAGGTTCCTGCCCGGATCTGCTCCGTTACAGATGGAATAATGTCGTAAGCCTGACCCCTGCTTTGGACAGATCTGCTGCTCAGAGGGTCCAGCTAAAGACACCCGGGTCCGAGTGAGGCTGCTTGGCAGCCAGGCAGCAGGAGAAACTGAACTACAGAT